AGTTTTTCCATGGCTAAAACAAAGGGTATTTCACCTTACTCACTGGGTTTTAGGGAGTCTATTCTTCTAGACTTTTCTTCTTAATTACTGAAGCACTGGGGAAACAAATAAGGTTGATTGTAAATTGTATCTAACTAAAAGTCTGTATTGATTCACCTGAGACTGCATTTTTATTCTTGAAAGGCTCCTAGCTTGATGCCAAGAAAGCTCGCTGCTACCATCCCTGCCGTGGGATACTACTCACCACTGCAAGGGCAGCTGACAACTGCCTGGCTGCCCAGCACGCTCTCCTTCATCCCCCAGCACTTGGAGCTGCTGCCCTTCCCAAAACCGTACTTGCTCTTCAACGTCCTCCCCCCTTACGGCACACCGCTACCCCACAAGTTGCAAAGGAGCAGTATCTGTGCCAGCTCCACATAGAGGAGGATACGGGGGAGTGTGGGACTTCGGGGGTGTGCTTTTCTCGCCCATGACCATTTTGGGAGTGTGTGATTCCTCTCCTTCAACAAGCTTCTGAGGATGATGGGTGGCCTGTGGCACAAGGTCAGCTTGCTGCAGAAGTGCCACCATGAGTTGCCAAGGCCTAGCAAACGTGGGCATGAGCCACCATGGACCGGGAAGGACCTCCCCGTCAATCTGAGGAGCAGCATACTCTGTAGAAACCCAACTGCTCAAATGAGAGCCTGTCCCTGGGGGGACAGTGCACCAAGCAGCCCTGCAAAAGAACTGGGGTTTTACCCAGCCCTGAGACAACACCGGATAACCCTATTGCGCTGATGGCTTCGGGCAAGCAAGATGCCTGCAATGAGGTGTGTGTAGCCCCAAGGTCCAGCCAAAAGGGCTTTCCTCTGCAGGTTTAGGTTGCTTTCCTCATACATTCTGGCCCTCATGTGCTGGGGGGAGCAAAGAACATGTATAGGTCAAAAATCAGACTTTCAAGACCCTTTTTTTTTCCCAAGTAGTCAATGAGAGAGAGGGATTGGTTTGATTTGCTGTCTGTGTTTTTGACTTGAATAAAGGGGCACAAACACAATTTGAGCTTAAATATGACAGTCTGAGAGGGGTAGCAGTGCTGAGCTCTGGATTTGGTACCATGAGTCTCTGGGGGCAAGAGAATTCTTCAGCTGGTTAATTAAAATGCTTATGAGGAAGCCTCTCATTTTTTGACCTGAATTAAGAAAGCTCTAAAACTCCATCAGAAACAATAACAAAAAGAGACAGCCTAGCTGAGTTTAATCTGCTAGACATAATAGGTTGGTATGACCCCACAGTTTGGTTTAATTGTAGATCAATAATGAGATCAGCCAGCCCACTTACAAAATGTCTGTATGCCTTATTATTTACATAATATTCATCTCCTTCCAACATATGGTGCTTTTTTCCCCCCTGCTTATTCAGGGTCCAATCCTGTTTCCACTGACGTCTCCACTTTCACAGGAAGCACTGTTGGAAAGCACTGTTTAAAGGGTTGCACCATCTTCAGTCTTGCAGCCACAGCAGCCATACTGCACACTGACAGGGGAAGCTACTGAGCAAAGCCATTAAAATGTGGTCTCCCTCCCAGCAGACATATCACTTGGAAGGGTGGCCACTTGTGACACAGTCTAAAAGCAAAGCAAACCATGACCCAAAGGCTTGCTGGGGATGCTGTCCTGTCCACATGGGAGGACAGGTAGGTTAATGACTCTGAATAGGTTGCTTACTTAAGAAATCCCTCTGTCCGGACTGTAGCTGCCTGGTCTTCAGCCTTCTTCTAGGTGCTAATTGTTAGTTACATAGGGGATCACAGTTGAGTCAAAAGCTTTCTTGTTGTCTGGCTGGGACCAGCTTTCCATGTACTTCAGGTGTGGCAGACCTGTAAGCTAGGGAGTAGCTGATTGTTGCAGGGAAAAAGACAAATCCTATCCTATATGGGTTTCATTTCTCCAGGCCACAAGTATTCAGTAGAAGTCAGATATACTGTGTCCTTTCTCCTACAGGTCTTACACAAGACCTTTTTCCCACACCTGCTTGGATCTTTACTATATCCTCTTCATCCCTGGCATCTTATCTGTCATCTGAAGGATAGTCCAGTCAGATACAGGACTAAGCTTCAGCTCCAAAAAAGGGGCTTAAGCACCTAACTGATTAAAATCAACAGGTGTTCACCTCATGCAACTTCAGGTGACTGCATTGCAGCCACACACACCTGACTAAATTAAGCACCCTGGGCTCACTTTAAAGAAGAAAAAGTGATCACACTAAGGTTTCTAGGTTAGGTGAAGTACACACATTAGTGCAGTTTCCAGGGTATGAATTGTCCATATGCAAGGATTAGCTTGATTATAGACACTGGCATTGTAATAATCTAAAGCTAAGGGACCATCACTCTTTGCACAAGTAGACCAGGGCTTCAAGCCAGCACTTGCATTGGGACAGCTTATCCTGGGGGCATATTTGTGTAGCATAGACAAGGTTCTGGGATGATCATAACATGACAATTTTTCTTGGTGAGGATATGGAGTGTTTGAATTTCATAAGTCTTGGTGGTGTTGGGTTGACGGTTGGACTGATGATCTTAGAGATCCTTTCCAACCTTAATGATTCCTAGTTTTTACTTTCATTAAAAATAATCCAGCCACCAAGCCAGGAAACATGAAATTACTACTCTACCCTTAATTGGTTTAGTGGTAGACTTGGTAGTGTTAGGTTAATGGCTGGACTGGATGATCTTAAAGGTCTTTTCCAAACTAAATGATTCTATGATTCTATGATTCTAACAACCCCAACTCTCTCAGCCTGTCTTCATAGAAGAGGTGCTCCAGCACTCAGCCTTGTGGCCCTCCTCTGGACTTGCTCCAACAGTTCCATGTCCTTCTTATGTTGGGGGCCCCAGAGCTGGATGCAGTACTCCGGGTGGGGTCTCACAAGAGTGGAGTAGAGGAGGAGAATCACCTCCCTTGACCTGCTGGCCACGCTTCTTTTGATGCAGCCCAGGATATGGTTGGCTTTCTGGGCTGCAAGCGCACATTGCTGGGTCATGTTGAGCTTCTCATCAACCAACACCCCCAAGTCATACTCCTCAGGGCTGCTCTCAATCCATTCTCTGCCCAGCCTGTATTTGTGCTTTGGATTGCCCCAACCCATGTGTGGGACCCTGCACTTGGCCTTGTTGAATTTCATGAGGTTTGCATGGGCCCACCTCTCAAACCTGTCAGGGTCCCTCTGGATGGCATCCCTTCTCTCCAGGGTGTCAACTGCACCACATAGCTTGGTGTCATCAGAAAACTTGCTGAGGGTGCACTCAATCCCACTGTCCATGTCACCGACAAAAATGTTAAACAGCGCCAGTCCCAACTGACCCCTGAGGAACGCCACTCATCGCTGGTCACCACTTGGACATCAAGCCATTGACTGCAACTCTGAGTGTGACCATTCAGCCAATTCCTTATCTACCGAATGGTTCGTCTGTCAAATCCATGTCTCTCCAATTTAGAGATAAGGATGTCATGTGGGACAGTGTCAAATGCTTTGCACAAGTCCAGGTAGATGATGTCAGTTGATCTTCCCTTATCCACCAATGCTGTAACTCTGTCACAGAAGGCCACCAAATTCATCAGGCACAATTTGCCCTTAGTGAAGCTATGTTGGCTGTCACCAATCACCTCCTTATTTTCCATCTGCCTTAGCATAGTTTCCAGGAGGATCTGCTCCATGATCTTTCCAGGCACAGAGGTGAGACTGACTGGCTTGTAGTTCTCTGGGTCTTCCTTTTTTCCCTTTTTAAAAATGGGGATTATATTTCCCCTTTTCTAGTCAATGGGAACTTCACTGGACTGCCATGACTTCTCATGTATGATGGATAGTGGCTTAGCAACTTCATCCACTGGTTCCCTCAGGACCCGCAGATGCATCTTATCAGGTCCCATGGACTTGTGCACCTCCAGGTTCCTTAGATGGTCTTGAACCTGATCTTCTTCTACAGCAGGTGGTTCTTCATTCTCCCAGTCCCTGCCTTTGCCTTCCACGTCTTGGGTGGTGTGGCTTGAGCACTTGCCAGTGACAACTGAGGCAAAAAAGTCATTGAGTACCTCAGCCTTCTCCGTACCCCAAGTAACCAGGTCTCCTGTTTCCTTCCACAGAGGGCCCACATCTTCCCTAGTCTTTCTTTTATCACTGATGTACCTATAGAAGCTTTTCTTGTTGCACTTGACATTCCTGGCCAGACTTAATTCTATCAGGGCTTTAGCTTTCCTAACCTGATCCCTGGCTGCTCAGACAATTTCTCTGCATACCTTCCAGGCCACCTATCCTTGCTTCCACCCTCTGCAGGCTTCCTTTTTGCATTTGAGTTTGTCCAGGAGCTCCTTGTTCATCCATGCAGGCCTCCTGGCATTTTTGCCTGACTTCCTTTTTGTTGGGATGCATCACTCCTGAGCTTGGAGGAGGTGATCCTTGAATATTAACCAGCTTTCTTGGGCCCCTCTTTCCTCCAGGGCTTTATCCCATGGTAGTCTACCAAGCAGATCCCTGAAGAGGCCAAAGTCTGCTCTCCTGAAGTCCAGGGTAGTGAGATTGCTGTGCGCCCTCCTTGGTGCCCTAAGGATCTTGAACTCCACCATTTCATGGTCACTGCAGCCAAGGCTGCCCTTGAGCTTCACATTCCCCACCACCCCCTCCTTGTTGGTGAGAACAAGGTCCATCCTCATTGGCTTCTCTATCACTTCAAGAAGGAAGTTATGATCAACGCATTCCAGGAACCTCACGGATTGCTTATGCCCTGCTGTGTTGTCCCTCCAACAGATATCAGGGTGGTTGTTAAACCCCAACACCTCCTAGTCTTTCAGTTTTCATCCCATCTCATCTAATAGTGGCATCTTTCCCTTCCTCTGCCCCCCCACCTATCTTCAAAGTAAGAAAGTCCACTTGTTTTATGGCTGTGCTGGTCCCCAGGATGCTATTTTTGCATTGTTTTATACTCTGATGTTTCCAGAAAATGCCAGGTTGGGCACACCCAGTCTTTAGGACACCCTAACCTCCACAGTCTTTCAGATATATAGGATTGCTTTTGGCATAAATATATCTTAAACTTGCCAAAGGGTTGCTAGAGGAACAAGTCATCCAAGGAAGCTGACCACACATTAGCAAGACCTGCATATAGAAATGCAGTCATAGTTTCATCCTAATTTCAGAGTAATAGTCTGTGGTGTTCCCTGAGCAGGTGGCTGGGAAAAAAAGGAATCAGACTGTGCTGCCTCAGAGTGAACGAGTCCATCTGATCTCCCAGCACATGTGCTACAATTGTCCTAGCCAGAAAAACCCTGACCACCTCTCAGCAGACTCATCCCACTTATGAAACAAAAATGTGTCGTCGTCATCTCTATCCAAAGGACCTGGCAGAGAGCTTGGGCTCAAATCCAGTCATGACAACATTTTGTTCC